TCGCCTTGCCCTGCCTGCTGCGCCCCCCCCTTCTCGCTCCGTTTTCTCTGCCTTAGCGCTACAGCTCCGTTGCCTTGCTCTGTCCGCCACCTCTTACGCCCTCCTTCGCCATCTCGTCCCCGAATGTACCCGGCCCCCATCGTCGTCCAGGTCCATCCCCTGTTATTTCCTTCACTATTGTTTCCGCATTATCTTGGCGCCGTAAGTTTCCCAACTAACATCCCTTTTATCACTCTAACACCCAATCCAACCTCACCAGTGGATTCACCCGGCCCTATAACCTCTAATTCGCACCCTTGTTTGCCCAAAACCGCCGAAAAACGGCCGCGCACCAACTTTTCTCCTAACTCTCCACCCACTAACTCCCCCGCCATTCTACCTTTACTATCTGATTCGCCCAATCTCAAACCCCCCCAAATCCTATCTTTCCCCCTTCCACTTTGTTTAGGAACAAGTAAACTACACGTTTCTTTTCCCTCCTTTCCATCACCTTCGCCATCTCTCCGCGCACACAGTCTTCTATCTTACTCCTATCTTACTAACCCAACGCTGAAGTTGGTCTTACCAGTGGTTTCGCCAGGGGCAAAAACCCCGGGATCGCCCCTTCCCCCGACCAAAACGGCTCAGGACCAAGCGAGATCGGTATCTCCCACCATCACCCCTCCTCCGAACGCACCTGGCGCACCCGTCCGGATCCATGCCACTTTCCCCTCGCCCTGCCCTCTAATGCCCCACGCCTCCTCCGTCGCTTGCCTTAGCGCCTGCTTCCGCCGTGTCTCCTTCCCTACCTCACCTTTCCCGCCACCTCCCGTGAGTGTATCGAACGCACCCCGACAGCGAACCCGACCAGGCTCACTCCCCGCTCATGCTGACGTCACCACCCTCCTCTTCCCGGTGTTTCTCAGCGCGGCCCGGTTCGCTTTCCGACTCCGCCGGACTACAACAGCAGCGCAACCCCGCCGTCAGTTGACCAAGACAGACGGTGGAAACAAAGGCAAACGCAAAAAACTGACGGACAGCAAACCTCGTCACCGCCCCCCCCCCCGCTCGATTTATACCCGGTGACCGTGCGCGGGGCTGTGCACATCCCCCCTTTCGTATCGTTCCAATTTTAGCGGACGTCCCGAAGGACTTAGTCGCGGTAGCACCCCACCCTCGGCTCTTCCAAGTTCTGACCGCCAGCCGCGGTACCGCGCCCCTTGAATCAAGACGGGACCGCGGATAGTAATGAGAACGATAAAAAGAAATAAAGAAAAAATACCAAAATTAAAATATCGTAAAATATCCTACACATATATATAAGAAAAGTCTTAAAGACGGAGTGCTAACACCCTACGGGTTCCATAGGTCGGGTCCGCTGCAGCACCCACTAGCAAAACTGAGGGGGGATAGCCTAGTCGAGCCCTCAACCCCCTCAGTTCCCTCTATGATGCTTCGCAGCTGCTGCACCAACGCCTGCTGGCCTCGATCCCTGAGTCTCTGTAGTAGTAGTCCAACGCCGTAACCTATAGAGCTATGCCCCAGCTTGGGATAACTAGGCGCGGAATCCAATATAAAGTGGTGTCGCGCCGTGCCTAGCCTTGGAAACAACAGCCTAGGCCTTTTCTCTCCTATCGCTGCCGGCGCGCCAACACCAGGCCTCCGCCCCCGTCTACTTACACCGCTCCGTGGCCGCCCCGCACGCCACCCCGTACGCCATCCTATCGACGGCCGCGCATGCCAACCTAGGAACGAGCTCTTACTTCTCCTCCAAGCCATAGCACGGTCCAGGTCGGTCGACTAGACCGGCCGCTCCTTCAATCAGAAGAAATCACACGCGCGCCTTAAAACTGCGCGCCCACATACCCTCTAGTCTAGTCAACCATCCAGCCAGCATAAATCACAGACGCATCCGCGCCTAGCGCAGTGTACTCAAACTCTAACCCAGACTATTCCCTGTCACTTGCAAAACCCAGGGCGGATACCCTTGTAAGGGTATTCGCACCGACAGCTTACCGGACCATATTAAGCGACGTCCCCGTCGCTTTGCAAAATCGAAACGCTATCAGATTAGCCAAGATGCTGATGAAAGAGGAACCAATCCGATTAGCCGACAAACTCAGGTTCGAGGCCTCCAACAACCTGTGCCCACACAACTATATGCTGCCAGGGTTTTAACCTGAGTCTCCATTGTCTTGACACTAGGACGCCGGTGTATTACGCGTCGATACTACAACATAAGTTCCAAAGGTCACCTCAAACCGTCCTCTCCCCTTCGTTCTAGACAAACGTCGGCCTTTCGTTGGGTGTCCCAGTTAGACTCTCTCTCACAAGCAGAGTCATACGGGGACGCGGGCCTTAGACGAGACCTCGGAAGGCGTTCTCGACTCCCTCGCGAAAGTCCTTACGATCAAACATATATATACATACGTAAATCTCCTCTCAGCCCTTTCTGCAGCCTAGTACAGAAAGGCTAGACCCCAATCTTGGCCCACCATAGTCTGGTTGATCGAGCCTGATCTACGGCCCACCGCATTGTTATTTTAGCGACAGTCCCTTCGTTGGTTATGGAACGATAGGTTTTCTAATGATAAGTATTCAATCAGGGCGCTCGAACGACTCGACCGTATCCCCCGTCATCCCGCCGGAGTAATTTCTTTGAGGCATGCATAACCCCTTAAGCTCTTATTCCGTGAGTAGACGCGGGCCCGCAACCAGGTTGTGCTGGCTTGCAGTCATCCAATAGGGGTTGCGCCCTAGATGTGCTAACCTTTACCGTTTAGCTTGGTATTCCCTAATATGCCTTAGGATTAGCACAGGTGTCTAGGCGGTGCATCGCAAAACAAACTTACACGGCCACTGCGGGACGACGCAGGGATCTGCCCTACTTTTAAGGGTATTTTCCAGCCCCCTATGAGACAACATAGAGGGCACGGCCCCTTCTCACAATCACAAACAATTTCACCGCTAGGCTCACACGAGGCCGTGGCCTATTGACTTGATCAGAGACAGCAGACCACACATCCCACGACATCTTTATGCACTGACTTGCGACCTCCTCAGTCCCACCAATGATTCCAACTCATAACCCTGGTTCCTCTCGTCCGACTTTATCATTCAAACATTGCTTACCATGTCCTTAAATCTATCACCCATTTTTCACATAAAGGGGGTCTCTCTCAACAGGTCTCCCAGCCACCCCTCTCTTTACAGGATGGACTATCACGCGACCTGGGTTACACTGCTGTCAATAAACAACATCCCCACCTTCCATAATCCGAGGGGGTCTCAATTATAGAACAACTCAACTGAGGGGCCTTCTTATGGGCCGTCTCCCCAACTTAAACGCAAAACACCCAAACTAAGGGGCCAACTTATGGGTCCCCTTCACAGCCCAGCCATAAACCTTTGGCATGGTAAGCATCCGAGCCTTATAGGCTCGCAAGACCCCTCAGGTCCTCATACATCTGTCACAAAAACGACCGCGCTGCCTCCTCTTATACCTGGCCGTTTCGCCCGCCCATGGGCAGGCCGCACGAAGAGTAGATGGCAATCACAATCACACAATACACATACATGAGATGTATCCCACACATCTCTCACACAAAGCCCTCATTCATTGGGATAAAGCCACACGTGTGAGAGTGATCGTGATCGTCACAAGAATAAGTCTCACAGAGTCCGGAATCAAAGATATACTCGGGAGCAAAATATCTCCCTCAAGTCTCAATACAACACTCAACCCAAACCCTCAACACACAACTTGTAGGTTGTATTTGGGAACAAAATGCCTGCCCCGAAAACACTCAAATACTCACTCCACTGTCTCACTCCACAGGATAAACTCCTGTCCCAAGTGTCGTGGACTCTCAGAACCTACTCAAAGATACAAGTAGGAGTATCTGAATCACACAACTGAAAATGCAAGTCACGTATGTCGTAGATATCATACAACTAAGTCTCATCCCCTACACCGTATCACACATAAGCTCAAGCCGATCACACACCGCCACCTATATATACATAACTAGACGGGACTTGCCTGACTAACTCAGAGTATGTACATCCCTATCGTGGCCTCTGCATACAGAGGAGCTCTAATCCTACTGTCATGTAGACGGACCAGTCCCTACTCACTCATAGCCTCCTGGTTCTGTCTATATAACTGTGCCCTACCCCCATCTGGAGCCCGCTCTACCGCACGCCCTTGCCTGTCGTACATTCTCCCACCGCTCTCTGTTACTCTCCCAGCCGCCTTGTCCTTAAGGAACTTCAGGCATTCAAGAGCTCTATGTACGCCGTCCTTGCAGAAGAAACACTGATCGTCTGATCTCCCTCGACACCTCCTCTTCTTCTGGGACCCAGGCAACGGCGGCGTCTCGCTAGTTCCCTGCTCATCTCACGGCTCCGGGGCATACTCCATGACTCTGCCAGCCCCGCCTCCGTCATCTGGGTACTCGGCCCTGCTAGCGCCTCACCTCCCCCGGGTCGGTACGCTGGAGTGTCCAGTGTCAGTGGCCTACCCTTGCGGACACCTCCCATCGCAGTCGCCCCCTCGTCCCTATGCAGGTCAGAAGGCTGGAGAGTCACGGTAGTCGCTGGCTCGCTCATAACTTCCTGCTGCTGCTCTGAGATGTGCTCTCCTGAGTCAGCTCCAGTAGCCCAAGAGCCTAACTGCGTCCTCAACTCCCCTATCTCTGGCACACGCTCTGGGGTCTCTTGTCTCTGAGACCCTCATGCACCTCCAAAAGGATCGTAGGGGACTCCTCTGCGGGGCCCCTTTCCTTCACTGGAGGTTGGGGTCCCTGCACCGGCTCGCCCTCAGGGATCTCAATCGTCATAGGGGTGGCCTGTTGCGAGGCCAACTCCTTGGGCGTCCTAAAGTTGAACCTCCCCTCCTCGGCCTCCCGCCGTGCTTCCGCCTCTATTGGGTCCAGGAATACCTTCCCCATACCTCCTTGCTGAGGTGGCTCTGTCGTCCCTTCCCGGCCAAAGAGCCCCTGTACGTCCTCCCCCTGGATACCATACCGGCTTTGCTCCGTCTAGTCGACCACCTTAGTGGCCGAGAGCCTCTCCACCATCGCCGCCATGTCCTGGAGCCTCTTTTCCCATTCTGCTTCCTTAACTTCCATACGGGACCTCCATGCTTGATTCTCTGCCCTCTCTTCTGCCAGTTGGGTGGACAACTGTCCCACCTCTAACCTCGAGGCCACCAACTCATCGTTGAGCATGGAGTACCGTTGGAAGGACGAGACCGCCACCTCACCTATCCTCCTATCTGCGCGCTCAATCTCCACCCTGGCGGCTGAAAATCCCAAGTCCTCTGTCTCTCGTGCCTCGTCCAATCTCGCACTCCCCTGTCCTACCTCTCGCGACCTCAGGCGAGTCGCATCCCTCTCGCTCTCATAGCTGGCCTTAGCCTTACTAATCCTCTGCTCGCTCGTCAGAGGGTCAATTGGCGGCTTTGGCGCTTCTCCTGTGGCCTCCATCCTAAGCTTTTCCTGGTATAGCTCTTCGAGGCGTACTGGCACCCTCTCGCGCTTCTCTTCTTTCATTTCCCCTGGTGGCTTCCCCGTCCTCACCTCGTGACCCTCTCACAGGGGATCTCTCTCACTTGTCCCCTCCTCTGCGGGTGATGGCCCTTGTGGAGGCTCCCCGAATGTCGGCACCTCCACATCCATGCGTGCACCTGTAGACTCAGTTAGTCGCATCGCCACAATAGTAGATGTCCTCGCCCTCTCGCCCCTCTTTGGCTCCGCCTGCGTCGGGGGTGGCGTAGTGGCTTCCGATGGAGGCCCCAACATCTCCTCGCTGTCCGGCTCAGGAATTCCTTCAGGCCAATACTGTCGCGCCTGCTCTGGAATCGGGGTAGGAGGAGGGGTATCATCCCCAACAGTGATAACCCCCTCAGTCTGCGGCTCCCTGGGTTCGCGAGACCTTGCCTCAGGCCCCGGCTCAGGTGGCTCCTCCTCTAGATCATCCTCTATTGGCTCATATTGTGCCGGTCCGCTCTGGTCCGCTCCCAGCTGTGACGCCCCCCACTGGGACGCATCGAGATGAGCCTCCAATCTGTCGAGCGGCGTCCTCAATGGCACCTCCTCCCCCCCCTCTGGTGACGTCGGCGACGGACCCCGTAGATCACTACCCGTGATTCGGCGAAACTCCACCTGCTCGAGTCCATAGGTAGGGGGTAGCTCCGCCGCCTGAGCTGGCCCCGAGGCCTGAACTGGCTCTACCGCCTGGGCGACCCCTGCTGGCCCCTCTCGCTGTGCCAAGGCCTTTCGGCCCCCTCTGGTCATAGTGGTCCCTCTCGCCTCTAGGCGCCGTGGCCTCTTACTCCTTTGTCGTCTCTCCACCCTGGGCTCCGGTCTCTCGGGCTCCAGTCGTCGAAACGCCTATCTCAACTGGGCCTGGCAGTCCTCCCAGTCGTGTGCCCTGTCGCGGATCTGCCTCGCCAATGACCTCTCTGCCCTCCGTGTCCAGAGGGGTAGCATCTGCATCCACTCCTCCTGCCCAGTCCCCTGGTCACGGATATACTGCTCATAGGCCGGGATGAACTCCTCCGCATTGCCTTCCTCCAATCGAATAGGCAATCCATCCGGTCCCATTGGCGAAGCCCTCAGCAGCCGCATCCTCGCCTCCACATCCTGCCATGTCAACGCCTCCTCTCGAATGTGCGTAATAGGCTCCTCGAAGTGCCCAACTCCCCTCAGGTGTCGTATCCTCTCCRAGGTAGACCAGCCCTCCCGTGTCGCATGTGCCTGGTAGGAGTCCAGAAAAAGCTCTATGTTACCGTCGTCGAAGATAGGTGTAGACTCCCTCCCAACCGGTCTGCGCGAGTCATCCCCTCCTGATGCTCCCTGAGGCCTCTGTCGTGGCCGCACGCGCCTCCCGCCCCTCTGCATGGCTGTCTTTGAGAAGTCAGACCTGCACAACAGGCGAGAGAAAGCAAGCAGGCACACAACAAGGTTAGCCCTCGGTTCATCAAGTTTTTATGACAATACACATGCCTTTTCCTGCTCCCTCTCCTGTCCTGACCATAACATGTGATACCTCAAGGACTAGTCTACTCTGGGGAAGGTAGAATTCTTTACCTATTCCGTGACCACGAACTTCTTCAGCCTGGTCCCTGATACCCAATCCTGCCAGCCTGTCCCGTCCTGCTCCTCGATCTGATAGGCCCCGAATTCGCCGCATCGTAATATTCTACAGGGGCGCAACCATCTCTTGTCAAGCTTCCTCGACCATTGCTTTTCCAAAGAGGAGTCGTATAATAATACGTCATCCCCTACTGCCAACGACTCCTTTCTTACTCGTGCCATCTGGTCCCACCTCATCTTATCTTCCATGCAGCTCCTCTCTACCTGATCAGCGGCCTCTCGCAATCTTTCCTCGGCCGCCCCCACTTGCCGCGCCCAAATATCGAGTAGTTCTTCGAAGGACAGGTTCACCTCCAAGTCCTGGCGCCTCCACGTCTTTATAAAGCTTTCTATGGGAAAGGTGGCATGCCTTCCATACCATAGGGTGGCTGACGCGTACTTGGTAGTCCTCTTTACAGTAACATTCTCCACGAAGAAAGTCGTCCGTAAGAACTTTGGCCTCTGACCAGGCTTGCCGTCTGTCCACTTAGCCAGGAGATTTGTGATGGTACTGTGCCCCCTTTCCACAAGAGCATTCGCTTGGGGGTGCGCAACCATTGGCCACTACGCCATACCCTGCAAGCAATGTCCTCACCTCATTGCAGGTAAACTCCGATCCTCGGTCCATCACGAACTCCTTGACAAAAGGATATCGCAAGTAATACTCCTCGATGCAGTTTGCCAAAACCGGGTCAGTCTTCGTCTGGATAGCTCGTCCGTCCACAAACCCAGTAAGGTTATCCCGTGCATCGAAGATGTAGTTACACCCATTCTCTCCTGCTGGCATGAATAATAGGTCCAGGTGTACGACCGCACCCACTTCCCTTTCTAACCTTGGGTGTAGGGGCTCTCCAGGCCTCTGCGCTGATCTCTCTTGGCAAGGTATACAGGACCGGCAGTACTTGATAACCATCGTCAGCATCCCGTCCCAATGGTAGAACTCGCTTATCTTCACGCATGTGGCACCTACTCCTCTGTGCCCCCCCGCTATACCGTCGTGTAGGGCCGCTATGATATCAGTTTGCCGGTTTCTCCCACATACGATCCTCTTGGGGTTCCCGACCTGCCGCTTTATAAACAAGTGGCCATCTCTTACCACATAGAGGTGCCTCATCTTCTGTGCCTTGGCACTCGCATCTCTATCCCTTATCTCACATGATAGGAGCAACCCCGATTCCCGGTAGATCCCATCGTACTCCTCCGCGCGAAACGCCTCCTTGATTTCCCCTTCCTCGAATTCGTCGTCTCGGCTTTCAGGAACCAGAATCTCATTCTCCTCATGACTGAACGATCCCTTTCGGTCTAAGTCTCCTTGCAGGAGCGTATTGGTGAGCAAGTACATCCCTCTCATTAGCTGCTCATGCTCCTCTACCTGAGTGGGGCCTTCTTCTATTGTCCTCACTTCGTCCACCAGACTATGCGTACCTGCCAACGCCAACTTCATCATCCAACCAACATCCTTACTTCCCCACGGATCCTCCTCCTGAAAGGGCTTGAGGACTAACTCTCCCTTCTGCCCGTTCCCCGTTGGTGCCAGCCATATGGGGTGGCTGGCACAACTGGGCACTCGTAGGGACCATTCGTTTATGTGCAGGTGGATGTCTTCCTCTTGATCCAAAAACCCATCAACTGGCGGCGTGTCTTCTATCGATTCCTCGTCCGATCCGTCCCAGTTGATGCGGCTTAACCCATCTGCCCTGTTCTTGTTCCCTGGTATCCTTTCCAACTCGAAATTAAACATCCAAATGTAGGTCAACCATCTTGCAACGGTTGGGTCAGATGGAGCATAATTCTTCAGGGAACATGCCAGTGTAGTACGGTCCACCCTCAAGACGAGCCTCCTGCCAAAAACATAGTTCCGGAAGGTCCTTAGGCAATGAAGTACCGCCAACGTCTCCTTCTTGAACAGAGAGTAGTTCCTCTCAGTTGTATTGAGGGTACGACTTTCAAATCTTAGCGGCCTCTTCTTCCCTTCAGTATTTGCCTGAATCAGGACTCCTCCCAAGGCAGTTAGCCCAGCGTCCGTCTCAATGACGAATGGTCTTTCCTCCCTGGCCTCATAATTTGGCGCTCCCAATACCAAGCCCCCTTCCTTAAACTCTCCCTTCATCCTACCGACCGCCTCTTCCAGGTCTTCACCCCAGACCCATTCTTGATCCTGGCGCACCAACTTCCTTAAATGTTCCGTCTTCGTGGCAAAGTCCTTCACGAAGCTCCTCCAAAATCCGCACGTCCCAAGGAAGCTCCTCACATCCATTATCGAGCGGAAGGGCACTGGCCACTCAAGAATCTTATATGTCTTCTTTACATCAGGCCTCCGCCCACTCTCATTGCAGACGAATCCTAGAATCGTGGCCTCCCTTATACAATGTTTCGACTTGGGGCCGCTCGCCATCAGGTTATGTTCCTCCAATAACCCCAGTACCTGATCGATGTCTTGGACATGCTTCCCAACAAAGCGCCGCACACCGGGCATCACTTCGTCTTCCTCCTTCTCCTTCGGATCCTTGACCGCCAAGTCATCGATATAGGGCTGGGTGATATGTGGGCTAACCGTCTGCATGGCTCTGATCATATGCCTTTGCACCATCGCCACTGCATTCGTCCAACCTTGAGGCGCCACGTTCATATAAATCATCCCTCTAAGAGTGTGCATTGCCGTTACGGGCGTGTCTGGCGGGTATACGGGGAATTGATCATACCTCGAGTAGAGGTCTATAAGCGAGATTATAGGCCTCCCTGCGCACGATTCTGACAATGCGTCTGCGTTCGGCAATCCTCCCGCGTCCCGCATTGTCACCACATTTAGCCGTCGCAAATCCTGCACCCACCTTAGCGTCCCATTTGGTTTAATAAAACAAAACCAAGGCGACGCGTACGGCCCACTGGAATAATCGGCCACGTGCGTCCGCATCTTGCCGTCTAGGTAGTCCACCACCATCTTTTCCTCGTCTGGATTGGGGTACCGTGCGCCCCTCAGATTCCATGGCTCATGTGGGACCGTGTGGATCTTGATCATCGGAATCTTGTCCACATCCAGCCTCCCACGCTCGTCGTCGCTGAATCTATACGCGCGGTGCCTTTTCTTCATCAGCCCCACCATCAGCGCTCTCCCCTAGGGCGACACGAAGTCGGGCTCCCCAATTATCAGCTTCCCCTCATTTTCGTCGTTGATACGGCACGGCCCGGCCAACGCGTGCTCCCGCATACGCCGTATCAACCCTCGCTCCCGCTCGTAGTAGGCTTCCTCATCCTCTGTGACGAGCACGGGAACTGGGTGACACTTTTTATCTATGGTCTTGTACCGCCTTTGGGAACCCTGCTTAAGCCCTCCCCTAAAAAAGGACGACTTGTCGCTTGGGCCTGGGCCATCGCAGGGCCTCCTCTCCCTCCCGGAAGCCAATACACCAACTCCACCTCCCCCACTTGAGGGTTCTCCAACACTTGTTCCCTCAATGCCTTAATGGCCTCCGGATCCGCCATGTCGTGAGCCGATACCACTTCCATGGCCTTATTCACATCCGTGAGGCTCAATGTTAGCACCTCAGCCCTCTCTTCCTCCTCGGGCACTTCCCAAAGCCGTCTCCGCTCGTTCTCTGACTCCTCAAAGGTGAACGAGCCTAGATTGGGCCTATTCCTCCCGCTCCTCGGTCCTGTGTTCCGGCAGGTGATAACTTCATAATTCCCACACGCCGGGTCGCACAGGAGCGGGATCATTGTTCCGTCGTGCTTGTTGAAGATCAACATTTCCGTCCGACACAAGAACAACCTCCCCAGGAGGATGGGGTGATCGACATCGGGCATAACGAAAAAGCAAGTCCTGACTCGCACCTTCCCAATCTCTATAATCACATTTGACGCTGTGCCGCAAAAGGCGGCCTTGCAGTTAGCGTCGTGCAGCATGCCATGGTCCGAGCGGTCGATCTCCATGCCTATCATCACTGCCTCCTTCTCCCTGATGATGTTCATCTCTACGCCCGTGTCCACCATCCCAGTACACTTCTGGTTCCTTATCACCAAATCCACCTGCTCGCACGCCACACACTTCCAATCCACGCTTGTCCCTGCCTCAGTCCACTCCACCTCTCTAGGCAGGACCGTACTTAGATGGACATTTGGCACCAGCCTTTGCGAGAGTCACCCTTTCAAGTCCCCACGGAGCCTTGGCGCCGACGTCAGGATATCCTTCCGGTTCATTAAGTCATTATGGCCTTCCAGGATCTTGTCCACCATCCGTTCCACATCAAAACCTTCCTCCATCCGGACCGCGTACTTCTTCCTCTTAGGTACACTGTCGGGTAGGCTTGGCTCAGCCTCTTCCCGGGCTCCTCTCTTTTTAGCCCTCAGCTCCGCCCACAGATCCTCCTCTTGTCGGAGCCTCTCATCCTCTTCCTCGTCATCCTCTTACTCTTCCTCCGGAACCTCCACCACCTCCTTCGTACGTCCAGGCTCCGGCTTCTTTCGAGGGGGTGCCTGATTGGGCGCCTGACTGGGCTCTTGACTGGGCCCAACCTTATTTTGGCTCTTGGTCCGAGCCGCCTGCGGCACCCTCCCATGCGACGTGGGGGGTCTATAGGTCATACCTGACCTAGGGCCCGTCCCTACAGTCGCCACTCTTGGGCACCCTTGTTGTCCTGGGGACGGCTCTGGCCCGGAGTCATAAAGGAAGACCTTAGGCAGGTTGGCCTCCCACTCTCGGGCTTCTTCACACAGGGCTTGCAGCTTCCGCTGGTATCTCCCCACCTTTTCCAGCAGGTCTTCCATCCGCCCCAGGAGGAGTGTGGCCGGCTCTCCCTCACCTTCCTGCCCCTCATCATCCGATTCGACGACTATTGGCTCCTCGCTTATAGTCCCTGCCTTTAGTTGCTGAGTGACCTCCTCGCTATCCCCCACAATCTCCTCAACCTTTATGGCCAACTCTTCTGTCTCCTGCCGCATCCTGAACATGGTCGGGGTTGTCGATGGCCCTGCCGCCGCTCGCCTAAGAGCTTCTTGCCTGATTCCTCCCAGGGTCCTAGGGTCGATATGCTCTCCCCACTTATCGTATATATCCCCGTCCATGCAAGAGGAATTTAGACCTGCCAACTCATCATCTCGCCGCCGTTGGCAGAACCGTATAGTATGGCCCACCTCGCTACAATGCCAGCAGGTAGCGTTTGGCCAATCAAAGCGGGGCCTCCCATACCCTTGGCCCCCCACTTGGCCACGTCGGCCACCTTGGTTCTGACCCCCCTGATTATTCCAACCACCCCTGCAACCCCCACCATTTCCTCCTCGGCCTCGGCGGCCACCTCCTCGACCTACTTGGCCTCGGCCTCCATTGCCTTGTCCTTGGTTTCCTCCACCGGCCACACTACCTTGCGAGGCCTGTTGGGAGGGAGGTGGTTGGGCCACAAACTGACCCTGAGCCACAGCGTAGCTCGAGGGCCCCATACTTGCCGTTGGGCCCGCATAAGGGACCATTTGCCCGGGCTGAGTCTGACTGCCCCCGCACGAGGCACAGTGATTACAACTGGGCCAGGACGTAGGCTGACAATGCGGCACCCAGTGCCCACAAGCCGGCGGCGGCCCCATACATGACGGCCCGGTCGTCGCTGACGTTATCGTGGCAGCAGGTGGCGGCGCAGCAGTCGCTTGCGAGACCTGCCCTTTTCCGGATCCTTGACCCCCCACTTGTAAATTCCGCTGCTTCTTTTGGGCCTTGGTTAGGATCTGGGAGCCCGTCTCTTCTCCGCCATAGTCCTCGCGCCTAGCCTCCTCTTCCACTGCCCCCGACGCCCGGCCTTGGGCCACGGTCACTCCCCTCTTTTGCACTTCCGCCTCATTATCATACCCTAGCGCTGCCAGTATGTCCGTGGCGATCCTCTTCACCCCTGGGGTCCCGGTCGCAGTGGCGTCCCTTTCCTTTCTGTTGCGCCTTTGCAGCCGCACCTGGTGCTGCTCCACCTGGTCCAGGCTCCCCTCTTCCACCCCCTTGTCTATAGTGGCCCAAGCCCCCTCCGTGACCCGTCAGCTCCGAGGCCTCCGAGCCAGTAAGCAAACCCAAAAATATCGCACATTGCGTTTCTTCGGAGATCATGTGCACCTTCCGCGCCTTCCTTTTAAACTCGTGCACAAACGCCCCAATCGTGGAGAAGTCATCCTTGTTCATGGCCTCCAAATCCGTCATGGTTAGCAAGCCATCCCCCAACCTGTACTTTCTTTGCATCATGTCCCTGAACCTCGCCCAACTACCATTGGCGGCATCCACGACCTTGCCCACTTCCTGATGGTAGCTATGGAGGACATATCTTAGGACTCGCTGGAGCTTGACCTCGTCCGACAACCCTACCAGTGCTTGCTCTGTCAGGTCCTGCCAGTCGGACACCCGTTCTCCCTTGAAGTGGAAAGTATCAACCTTCGGTACGTTGCTCGGCGCCCTCTCGCGCTTATCCAGGGCGTCGATGAGGTCGTCGAGCGTTACAAGCTTCCTCCCTCCATTCACCATCTCCTCAAGCATTTTGATTAACCGCCTTCGGCTTCAACCCCCCTGTTATAAGAAGCGATAGGACGAAAGGTTCCACTCAGCAGTCCATTCCTTCACGATCCTATCGGACCGACCCCCTAAGCACCCAACGCTCTGGACCTGGCAGGCATCTCTCCCTCTACTTCCTACCTCCTTTGGATTCACCTAAATAAGACCCATTCTTATCACAAAGTTCACTCACATACTCGCCTCGTTCATGCCATCAGCCAAACCACCAATCAGATTAACATTCACACCCACACAACCATATAGACTACCATACGATCCGTCTCATAGTTCTCCTCCTATTCGCTCACGTGCCTAGTTCTCTCTCATTCTCATATTACCCGGATGTCGTTCCACCAGGGACAACGGTAGGCTTTCATTATCCCCGGCAATGGCGCCACCCGTCGAGCGCATCGTTCCGGCACCTCACGTAGCCGCGCGGGACCCTTTCGGCCACGTCACGCAGGAGTTGGACCAACCTCGGCACGAACACGCGCATGGAGCTTCCTTAGGCCGCGCCGGCCGAGTGCGCCAGCCATACCTCTCGCGAGCCCCTACGACAGGATAGGGCCTGCGCGAGGCACAACTTACCTCCACCTTATGGGAGCTGTCACCTCCCTTCAGTGGGCGTATCCCCGCCGAGCTACCAGTCCACAGTACGAAAGCTACTCGGTTGCAATCGCAGAGGTGGGCCAGCCGAGGGCGTTTCTCGTTCGCTGTAGCATAGGGGGTACGCGAGGTAATACGCCTATCGGACCTGCACGCGAACCGACATCTCGGGAGGCTGGAATCCCAAGCGCGGCCCGACGTCGGTCGACTAGGACGCATCCCACACACCACGCGCACACCACCTTACGAACACAATAATAAAACACACGCACACACACATACGAAACAACCCAACGCAAACAACGCGACAACGCTCTTAGCCCCTCGGTAGCCTTCCCGATGCAGAAATCAGATAGACGTCGCGCGAGACTCAGTATAGAAGTCACGCGGATGCAGGGCTAACTCCTGTCGACTCGCAATGCAAACGCACGCACGCAGTCGCAGTGATGGCGTACTATGTAGTACCCATACTCACGCGGTCCTCGTTACTCTCAAGGGTCGCATTCGACGCTTAAGTGTCGGCTGACATGTACCTCGAGGGTTAATCTCTCGATCGCTAGACAATCACTGTGCGCGGTTGAAGACCACACCCTCTTCTACACCCTGTGCACAGGGGTTGAGTAGACAACTTTAACCTGTCGTGGCGGTCGAACATCAAGGGGTTTGACTTTGACGGCCGCCACGGACTATAACGTCCAACCATGAAAACGAAAAAAAGGAGACTCACTTCGACCCCGACTAGCTAATGGCCCTCTAAAATGGAAAGGGGGTGGATAAGCCCAAACGACGCGCGCGTGGAGGAGGTCCGGTATCCTATCCATAGGCTACCCGGCGTCCGGGATAATGAGGTCCATGCACGGACCCCCAAAGGCTGACCGGAGCTAGTCCTCCGCCCACGTGCCGCTTCATGTTACCAAGACCCCAAGTTTAGTGGCTGTGTCGCGCTCGTGATCTCGCCGCCTGACCCATAACTCTTTTAGTGCGGGATGCAACGAGTGYCGCGCGCRAACTTAGTATAAGATCGCGAGSGCGCTGGACTTACACATACTATCTCGCTATGCAGTTCCACGTGAGTAGCCGTGATGACKGTGCATTGTGTAGTGCSCACACCCAAATGACCTATTATGAGCCAAGGGGTCACCTTTCGATGCTCAGGCGTTGGCTGAAGCGCGAGCCAATGAGGGTAATCCCTTTAGCGCACCTAAAACCGGCCTAAGGGCTTTTCCAWCTTCAGCACCCTGAGGTGTCCCAACGGGTGCGGGGCAAGACGACCCCTAGGGCAGAAGGGAGTTTGGAGCGGTGGTGAGTTGTCTGGCGCATCACCAGCAACAAGCTGACCCTTCCGCCCGGAACTTTATCGTTCCACCAAGATAAATCGCAACGAGGAAAAGAAACAAGAATTGGCGAGGGGTATCCCCTCCCTTCTATTCACCCCACCCTTCGACTGACCCTTAGTACGCGGGCACTTCAGGCCACGCTAGCTCCACACGTAGGTACACATGCACTGGCACATATATACATGCACAAGGGGAATAATTATGTGACGATCCCTTTTCACAGTCATAGTGGCCCTCCTCCTAGCCATACATATATATGTGATCGCAAGGCAGCCCAACCGAAACCCCAAGTCTTTGAACATACCTGCAATCACATCAAAAGTTAGACAAGAGTCAACACACTACGCGAAGTCAACTCCAACCAGTTCCTATAGTCATACCCCTCGCTTTAGCCATGCAAACCCCAACTTTCAGCCAACCAACCTCAATTAAATACTCGATACCTTTGTTAAATGACTATTCAATAAAAGYCCGGGTGAAACCCTTACCAAACAAAAAAAAGATCATCAGGGCTAAAGCCTTTTAGGTTGAGTATGGGGAGCGAGTAGTAATTGCCTCGTGAGCCGACGAATCGGTAACCGACCTGTTATCAGTGATAACAGATGATGATCCTTGCAAGATCAAACTGAACTAGCCCAAGTCTTGAATCGAATGTCCAAGAAAGGCCTGTACCATAAGACAGGTAAATGCCCAAGCTAAATCATCAGCATACGGGGTATGACYCTCCATATCACATTCTCACCCAACTTACCTACCAACTAAATCAAAATCTACCCCTTAGCCAGTGCCTAAGCAAAGGTAGACTAACGGCAGGATCTCCCCTATTCAGGGTGGATCGTCAGAATCGCCATCTGTCAGAATATAATCGAACTCCTCTAAATCAAGAAAATTTCAGCAGCGCTTCCCGTAGGAAAAGTACCTTTTCAGAATTTATATCAGCCCGAATATGAGAACAGAAATAGTCTTTGACTTTCTAAAGTCCAATTTTGTCTAACTCCCTATATTAGCAAAAATTTGGGCGGCACTCCCTTTAGAAAATGAGACTTTCCAGATTTTTACTAAGCCATACATGAATTTTAGACAGGTTGAACTTTGAGAAGTCAAGAATTGACTAACTCCCCAGATTTGTAGAAATTTCGTCAGCGCTTCCCGTAGAGAAAGTGGCTTACCAAAATTTATACAAAGCGAAGTATAACAAAAGATCCCAGAAAATGCGAGAATCGATCTAAGTGAGAAAAACTTAGCTCAGAAAAAACAGAAATTGACCTAACTCCCATTGCTCTAGCACGAGGCGAGCCTCTAAAGCAACTACCTATCAACCTGACACTCAAACCAAGTAGTAACCTCACTCAGCCTCATGCAGGCCAAACCACAAAGGTAAGTACTCTCGCCACCCCAAGTCAATCTTTGCAAACAATAGTTCGTAACTCCTCAATGCTTCATCCCCTTATACCGAGCTTACATAGGGCATAAAGTCAAGCCGTCCAATCTTATGGAACTTGCCTGACTCAGCCATTGAGTATACACGAACAGGTTGCACAACTACTTCTCTCTTCTTTTTGGGCATACGACTAGGCCTTTCATGTTAGAACAAGACTTAGTTGCCCAAAACTGTTTAATATCCAACTTATATTTACCTCTCTAAGCTTGGTGTTTAAAAGCTGGGCATAGGACCGAGCCGTTCATCTTAGAACAAGGCCTGGCCTGCCCAAGGTTACCTTCAATTATACTCTTAGTTATACTCTCTTCATTTTATGATAAGCTAAAGCCAGGCCGTCCGATCTTATGGAACCCATGCTTGGCTAGCCTGTTCATAGATAGGGTAGTATAAAATATAGCCAATTTTTAACCCTTTGGGTTCCAGCATATGCGAGGCATTGGGCCAGACCGTCCAATCTTATGGAACTGGTCTCGTCCTCTGCCAGGTTCATTTCTCTCTGACCCAACTGTGTACAACATGAGTCCAAGGCCGTCCAATCTTATGGACTTGCCCTGCCCTCAGCAAGGATTACCCCCTCAGCATAAAACAAGAGATGGGGCTGAGCCGTCCAATCTTATGGACTTGCTCGGACCTCCTCGATCAGAAACAAAAGAAACAGAACAAACCCAAACAAACATGGCAACCAAACCCTCCAATCTTATGGTACAGGTTTGACCCCTGAAAAGTCAACCACAGTCAACCCTCATAGTTCAGAGCAATCAGACCGTCCAATCTTATGGAACTGGTCTGATCCTCCAAGCAATTTGAAAATAAAACACAGCGGTCAGGCCGTCCAATCTTATGGAACTGGTCTGACCCCATAGGGCCCATTCACGCTTAGGCAAAACCACCCTTCACCCACCATTCCCCGAGACGCAACCCCTTCTATTCACAATCTGCTTTCAGGCAATCAACAAAAACAGAAACTCAGATTGCACATACATTCCTTTCCTTAGTCTGAGTCATGTCCTGTCAGCCAAACCAAAGTCAAAATAGGGGTGCATGCAACATACTCATTCAAACATAGCAGGACGTACAAATAGGGGTTATACCAGGGGGTATAGAGCGAAAGCAAAAGGTTACCTTTCAGTTCCCTGCCTCCAGAGCCTCGCCTAGGCTCCAGCAGAGCTCCCTCAATCGGCTGGGTGAACCTCCCACAGAGGCCTTGGCGCGGATTACGGGTTGCAATCCCGCCTGCCGCCTTCCTCTCAGAACCAACATACTAGACTTAGAGTAAGAAGGGCAAAAGAAGAATGGTTCATTCTCTCAGATACAAGAGGGGTGCTCTCAGACTCGCAGGAGAGGGCCTTGATATCTTGGCGCGCCTGAGGGCCCCACAATGATGGCCAAAAAAATCAACAGCCTGGTCAAACTTGGAGTCACCCCACTGAATCAACTCTCCGTTGACGGCCCTCCGGTTCGCAGCAACACAGTCAGTCCACCGCTACAACGCAGAACCGACGGCAGTCCGGCGATCCTCCTCCCCTTTTTTGCCTAATTGCCTGCTCCCCCACCTGGCGAGATGGCCAGCACACCGGCCAACGAGAGGACTGCTCAGCCTTCGCGAACTCCTAACCCGGCCCAGCCGGGCGGCTCACCAACCCGCAAGCCTATCCAGTAAAAGGCGAACAAAGCCCTTCCACC